AGCCGTGATGGGCATAACAGCAAGCGATAATGTCAAAAAGCGACTGAAGAATTCTATCATAACAGACTATTATTATATGTTAGAAATTTATTTTAGGGCGGCAAGAGAAATAATAAATGTTAGGATTAGGAAATCAGATTATCTGTCGAATAGAATTATTAATTTTATTCGATTTGCATTGACTGTACCGACCTATGGGGATCGTATTTAAGAATTAGCATAACAGCGATTGATATTTAACATTGAGTATAAGCTAGTTCAAAGTCTTTACTGTACATGTAGTCGCTATACCAATTCAAATAAGCGTATTTTCTCATTATCGAAATAGTAAGTACCAGGATTTACAGTCGTGTAGGAGTGATCAAATCGTAGCTATCACTTTGAATTCGAAGTCTTTTACTATTTATTGTTATATAAAACAGATAAGCACAATTTATATAATCTGGCTATCTATATTACGAACCGTAGAGCGTAATTACTGATCTTTAATGCGTTAGCACAGCATTCACAGCTACAATCTGTATTCTGGCTTTCCCGTAGATATGCCTGTTACTGTACTATACTGTACAATACAGCGTAAGCGCATAAAATAAATTGGATGCGTATTTAGTTGATTAAAATATTTGAAGGAATTAATAAAATTGAAACAATTTAATATGGATTGAAAAAAGTTCTATTTACAAGCAAACAGACATTTGTAACAGAAGACAAACACAAAAACTGAGATATTAATGTGCATTGATTGCGAACTTATAAATTACAATAGAAAATCACTTTAAAACATTCATTACACGTGAATTAAAGTACTATTACGATTTAGCATAAATTTGTGCTAAATATCGTTTTTGATGTATAACCTATAATTATAGAAATTTTACGTAACGAACAAGCCATTGCCTGCGAATATTTTAAATGCTAAAGATTGCGGCTTAGCGTCGATATTAACTGGAGACGTTTTCAATGCACTTTGCAGCTTACATAAGATAATCGTATTTCGAACCTGAACGTACAATAAGTTATTTACATTGTAACACTGCCTTCTAATTTACTTACATTTAATATAAAACAGTTATTACTCTCGTATTTATCTGATGTACTGTGGACTGCTAAAATTATTACCGAAATAAAACAAACGAGTTAAACACTACTCTTAATGGCAACTCAATAGATATCGACGGCAATATGCAAATATAGATATATGCTTAAACATAAATCTTAGAACGATCATCTCTAACATAACATTGATTAACTTATTACATGTAAATTAAATATTATTTCAGCGATAAAATGACCAGCTGTCTATGTTCGTAAATACTGTTATCGGTATTAGGGAGCAGTAGCTAAAGTTAAAGCCTTATTCAGTGAATGATTCCAAAGTTAATCGTACTAACTATGAATCATGAACTATTGCGGAAGAGTATATAAATGCAGTATATCGTGTAATAAAGTTAATTCTTAAACTTAGTGTTTAACGTAAAATACGAGGCGTCTAAGCCTTTGTGTAGTCTGCTGATATAGCAAAAGTGTTTCTAATAGCGCAGGTATCGCTCCTTGATACGTGGTTCAAGGAATTGACTTATGATCGTACATTACGTTATCTTGTCGCAAAGCTGTTTCGTGATAGTGACCAATCATCACAGTCCTACATATTCACTATCCTTATTCGATTTACTTATTCTAAATGATCCATATTTCTACGATAATAATTATGTGAAGGAGAATTCTGAAATAGACTTCGATTGCAATCCTCCATAATCAATAAAAATATCAATTTCAATGAGTAGTATTGGTTGACAAAAATATAAAATTTTACTAATATTAAATTGAAATACCAAACATAGAAGTCGAAATAAAATAAATTAGGGAGAAAACACAAGTTTGTTATAACTTAAACAATAATTTTAGCAAAAAATTCTTAAATGAATAAAAAATACGGGCAGAACCACTGCCCCAACCAACCAAACTATCAATTAATGAGATAATTCACGATTATTCTGGACTTTTATTGTCTTCTCTAACTTTAACTGCGCTAAATTACCGAACTACGCTACCTATTTATTATATGCTAAGCAGAGCAGTTGGCGGTATTAGACTATCTAACTATCATTCTAAAGTAATCCAAAATTAAACTAGCAACGAAACACACATGATACGATAAATTATACCCTAGACTCCCGAAAACTGCTAAATTAGTACTAAGTATAGTTTAGCTTGCAACTGTATATTTCTACAGTATACACTAAGACAAAATATCAATCCTAGATCAAGTGTTTTGGGTTCATACTGCACAAAATTACAAAGTAACGTTAACTTCTACTGTAATTAATGATCAAAATTAGCAACACATATATTCTATCAACTAAATATATCTTTTGAATTATAAAATCATAATATCTGATTCTTGAAAAAATTATGTAACGGATTATCTTAGCCTCTAACCCGAATGAAGCAGTCAGGTTTACAATATACTAAGATACTAAGTAAAATCTACTATTATAATCAACCAAGTAAGTCATATTTTTAAAGTAAGAATACTTATCACGATACAAAAACTAAACTAGAACAATTACAATGAAAGAACTTGAAGGAAAATTCTAAAAATTAACCTTCATTACAAATGCTTGTAATTAAAGTCTATCTATACTACGGATTTATAATTACCGTATATCATTTATCGACGTTTTAATGCAAGTAGTATTGACAGCATGTGTGCTTTTTACATCCAACTTACACCGATAAAAAAGTTTATCTATTTCACTATAATCTGGATAGTTTACAATATCTAGAAGATGAGTTACACAAGATTTAGCGAAACTTCCTGATATTTTCAAGCGCTTAGAATAGCCATAGTACATCGTTTTTGATTCTGTAGGTGTACAAGGATCAAGTATATCTCCTTTACCTAGATCAATAACATTAGATGCGTTACTAGGACAATCTTGATTAGCTCGCATAATCCACGGGCCGACCTGATTTCGAGCCAATCCAAATACATGGTATTTTACATCAAGTGATTTAGAATGTTGAGTTTTAGTTTGATCGTAGAAAACTTCATGTAATTCGTATGCAAGTCTACAGACATTAGATGACATAGTGCAAATTAAATAATCACACTCGGCCAGTAAGAATAAATCTCTAACTGAAATAGCCTTAAACGTAACCAAAAACCTGTGCTAAAAACGGTACTGAACTAAGTCTACGCATATGATATAGAAATAATAGCATTAAACAACTAGGCGCAAAGTATGTAATTAGTTTTTCATGTTCTTGTGACAGTTAAACCTGGATCAATTCCAACTAACGATCAAAAATTTCTTTATTATTATAATTAATTTTTGTGCGTCTTAAACTGTGCGAAATTAGTTGCGCGATGAAGGTGATAAATATAAATACAGATTACTATATTCACGCGATATAGTTCAAGTCATGGCATTACCTTAGCAATGTTGAACCTGATGATAATGATAGATTAACGGAATTAGTAAGATAAATTAACCATTCTATTGAAGAAGTGAGGGTATAGGGCGTCTGTAGCTATTTATGCCTACTTATATTTTAGTACTTAATATCGAATACAACAGCATAAAAAGAATTCTTTATCTAAAGTTTATGTTCGAATAAAAAGATGCGTTATGCCTGAGAATTGTTCTGAAATGATTAGCAATCATACTCATTATTTGGATAAATTTGAGGATTAATAGTTCAGTCATCAACAAAACAAAGAATCAAATAACGTAAAGTTTCCTAAAATGTCTTAGAAATACAAAATTACTTGAAAAACTTCTACCTAAAAAAAAAAAATTTTCATGTCTGATGAATGCCTAATATGAACCATTATTTCGATAACAAAATTATGAACCTTAATCATTACCCGGGATATTAAAAATTTTTATTCCATAAAGTATCGATGCACATACACAAGAGCATAAGTGTATATTTTAAAACTACTCATAATTATGTTCAGACTTAAAATTTCATAAAGCTAAACACTTGGAATTGAAATACATCACGATTAGAGCGAGGATTGCTAATAATATTATAAACTGTGTCACTAAGATCGATGCCATAACGGGGTGTAATTATTAAGAAACTCATTTCAGTATTATAAGTAATCATGATACCATCAAAAGCTAATGGTTACGTTACTACAACTATTTAATAATGCTATGGCAGAAATATTCTCCCAAGAATAGCTATTAGCAAAAAATAACCAGAACAAGCAGGTAAAAGCATACTAGTAAATGTTGATAGAGTAATGGAAGTTTAATATTGCTATTTTAGAAATACAGATTAACTATAGAAAAATACGTCGGGTAAAAATATTTACGTTTACATATTAAGACATACTGTTTTAGGAAAATTGTAGGTGCGAACAAATGATATCGAATTTATACAGTTCTATAATAATAATTGTTACTAGAATATATGAATGAAATTTTTAGTTTACGATAAGAAAAGTTCTGTCATAGAAATTTTAGTTTGATTCATTACGCCGATGAGAGAAGGAGTAGCAAAAAATTTTAATGAAAGACTAACACTTTCCCGGTCAATTTTGCTATCATACGATTTCAGATGAAACAAAATATTAAAACCGTACCGAATCTTCCATACTTGATGGTGGAGTTTCAATCTGTATCAGTGGAAAAAAATCATGGTTACGATAAAGTACGTATAAGTTAATTGTAACCATACAGTACATATATTTACACTCCATTTATAAAATAGGAAAATTTAGGTAGTAAGCGAATTTATAATGAATAAATTCCATCATAAATGTGTCTAATGTTTCTACCTGCCATCACTTCCTCGTAAGCAACTTTATTTACATCAGTATCTTCGTAAACATTAACAGAATCTGGCTCTGGTGGCCCAGTTTTTCTAATCATAAAGGTATCCGAGTAGTAATTATTAACTGCATTAAAAAGCAGCTTAGAAAGGAAATATTTATGCCGCTATGAAGTATATCCTAAACTAACTAAGAAGCAATTTAATAGGTTTATTCCATCTTTTAATGGGCTAATACTTATTTAGGTAACTACTATCAAGTACTGTAATATAAGCCATGAGAGTACCGCACAGCTAAATTTAAAATTATTTAGTTAGCTGAACGATCCTCTTAAAACTGTAGACATTTATCGAATACATGAACTTCACCTCTTGGAATGCAAGCTAAGCTAACGTGATTACAACATCAAACAGTAATAAATGCTTTGTACAGACTATAGAATAATGTTATCGTTTATTACTACTACGAAAATAATGTAACCATTCATACGATGAATAGTTATCAAATTTTAAGGAATAGCTGAAGCGAAAGCGTTGCACCGTATGAAAATAACTTCAACTTAGTTTAATGAGTCAGAATAAATCGCAATACCTTCTGGATGTAAAAGAATCACCGCGACCTGTATCCATAGTCTTTACTGATGATTTCTCCTATTTGATGAATTTTAATAAAAATTAATTCATGCTCAGCATAATTTTAGTACGTGTAGTATTTTAATACTTTATTAATGTTGCAGTTTTAGTAAATTTCAATTTAAGAAATAAAACTGCTTGCTACGATTAAGTGCTGCATTTACCCAATCATCATTTTTCAGAATTATCTTTTGAATGCCATAAAATACAAATACATACAGTCCCTAATTGATAAAATATTGTTAATATATTGCGAAGTAATCTAGTACGTGAATTAAATTGTCTACATATTTACAACTCCGAAAGTCTAAATATCTATGGATGGCATTCATAATAATAGTCAGCTTTAAATTAGTTAAAGAAATCAATGAAGAAAAAGAAAAGTTCCAAATTAATCCAATACCTGTAGAAAACTAAGAATTGCGAAGGCATATTGCAATATGATATGATTATATATGATAAACAAAACAAATAAAGTCCAACCAACAGCTATTAATAAGAGCAGAAAAAAGGCCCTGATCAGATCATGCCTATGAACCCAAATAAAAGATGCGAATATATTAGGATACTAGTTAATTTTAATAATTCATTGAATCTGAGTATAAACTATAAAACAGCAAGCACTCGCGATACTGACTTATAAATAGAAAACTCTTCCTGTCTCTTCTCTAGATTTTCACTTTTCGCATTTCTAAAATTCTTACTGACAAGTATAATTGCTATTATAGTAATCTATTTGATATTTGGTCATAGAAAAATATTGATTTCTTATGTTTTACAAAAATTCAAAGGACATCCAGTCTTAGAATGGATAAATCAGTACGTCCAACCTATTGACTTACAATTGGCTATTTTTATATCAAAAATTTTCAGTACGTTTAGTACTAGATTTTTTATTTATTTTGATAATATCACTAATTGAACTTTTTAGTAATAATATTGTATAAGCAATTAAAATGGATGACTTAATAATGTTTGCTTATATTAGATTATAGCCTCTGATACACAGCTATTATTTTCAAAAATGGTTTTTAAAGTGTGGCAGTTACTTAGCTAAACAGAAAAATTAAAGGAGGTTTTTATCAAATGCTATAATTGAAAGATTAGAATATTTCTTACGAGCGTCATAGATAGAGTCAAGCCAATAAATCCAGAAATTATAAGCGGATTACTTCTTAACCAACACCTAGGCATTGTTAACAATATCAATGCGATAGTGAAATGAGCTCAATAGTAATGATTGAATTTCAAGCATTACATGCAATTACTGCTACTTAAAAGATAAATTATAATTGAACCACAATCAGGAGCTATGCATTTTACATTCTTACACATTATCTGTAAGATAATTCTTAATTCCCATCAGAACAATTGTCACCACAGCAGTTGCAACGGCTGCCACTAATGGCAAAACTAGTTAGGGAGAAGAACGCGTTTATCAGTGAGAAAAAAACAGACTATAAATTTCATTGGTCAATCTATATCATTCTCTATTGCAATATAAAAATTTTAAGCTACTGTGCGTTGTGGCACTGTAAATATCTGTATCAAAAATAAGTACAATTTCGATCTAGTACACTTACTATAGCCAATGCAACTGTACACCTTGTACATCTTTTTCTTTAATGTACGAGTTGATTGCATTACTAGATGGATGGCCTGGCACATCATCCAAGCAAAACTGCCAGTATGGTAAAATGAAGGAGTGTTGCAATTCCGGCGCACAGTTGCTAAAAAGAATATTATTTGGTAATCATTATTGAATTTTATGGCTATTAATTTCATCGTACATGAGGCATGATGTCTATACAGTAATAATATTTCCGATATTTTAATATCAGAAAATTTCTCGCACTGATTCATTTACCACTGGCTGAGTATGTGGTAGGCCAATAATGGTAATTATATTAGCAAGCAACAGCCAGACAAAGATATTGAGATTGATAGATGTAAGCGTTTTCCTATTTTTCCTATAATTAATATTATTGAGCAGTTAAAGTTAAGTAAATAATACATTAAATATCAGTAGCCAGCAAGCAAGTATAGAAGAATCAATAATTATATACTACTGAAGCGATTTAGATGTAACGGTTGATCTAAAGAAATTTATTAATCCTTTAGCACTAATGATATACAACGTTTAATTGCAGCGCTATGTTACTTTCATCCATCTTTCACAAATAGGATAATATTAAGTTTTAAGTTTGCAAAATAATAATTTTTAAGAAGCTTCCATTCTTATGACTCGTTTAGGATTGAAATTAATCTATTAGCAAAAGATTTATCTTGCAAGAATTTTACCGATCATACCTCCAGGAAATAAGATATATGACAGTTATAATAGCTAGAAGTAAACACGAAATACCACATCCAATGTAGGTAATAATTTCAAATTGGAACTTCGAAATCTAGTAATGTGATCGAGCAAGAGAATTAATATATCTAAATAATTGTATATTTAAAAAATTTAAGTACTTAATTTACTACCTACATTTTCATTTAAGTATTGATTATGTTACATTAATCATCATTTTAAACGCACAGTTTCTATAGTAATACCTTTTTAATTAATTAATTTTATGTAAAATTAAAGTTTTAATATTTATTTAAAATCGTATTCTTTACTGCTTGAAGAACTACCTGTACATCATGGTATAGGCTGGCAAAAGTAGCTGTATGGTTGCAATAGCAAAAGGTATGCGTTGAATTCGATTCTGAACCCATCCAGCAACCTGATGGGGACCATCCACATTGGCTATGAAGGTAATTTCACATCAATTATTTTACGACAAGCAAGCTATGAATGTGGATAGTAACTACGTTATTATTAATATGCACGAATACTAAATGTCCCAAATAATGATAAGTAGCTCTTGTTAAATATTTATTAATATAAATATTTTAAAATATTATAAATTAATAATATTATTTATGAAATAGAGCTGCTGGTCCGCCTTTGATATCAAGATATTATTTGCCTGTCGCATCCATAAATGATCATTACAATCTCGCCTTTAATATAGCAGTGATCAAAAATTTGAATTATGCTATCATTGCCTAAGTGATAGAGTTTGCGGAAAATTGTTGCTTCTAGTATTTCAGTATTACAATATGGGAAATGCCATGATTTATTGTACTTACAAAGTTTAGAAATTCATATCCCGTAGTAAATCAATATTACTCTTGCAGTACTTGAAATGAAAGTTATGAACGTTATTTGTAATGTGGTATGGCATTAGTCAAGAAACCTTTGTGATAACATACTTTATTTAGATAAGATTATTCTTCATAAATAAGCTCATCTTAATATCGAATAAGTAACGGCATTAAAATATTTCTAGTATTTCTTTGTTATGAAAATCGTTTATTGATGAGTGATTTATTGATTTATATAGTGTATAGCATAATATTATTATTTACTTCAATGCACTTATAATTTTAGTCGTCATGTACGTGTTCATATTAGCACTTTTTGCAAGTCATGATGTTATGATTAACTAATATGATCATTATTTCAATTATGGACTTGTTTTTCTTATGCACCTAATTTGTCAACATTGTACGGAATCACTAGGTTAAATATAGTATTCGTCAATTCAGGTGTTGTTGTTTTCATAGGTGTTTTTCTTTAACGACTTTATAATAATATTTACCAAAAGGAATCCGTAAAACTTTATATAATCGAGTTTACAAACTAAATTATATTGGTATTCAATTTTTCACTTTACTGACAGATCTCTGTAATTTAAGTGTATGTTAATTCAATAAACTACGTTTTACCCCATACACTACAATTTAAACTAGTAGATTCTGTGAAAGAATGGCAAGTAGTAAGTTTAATCTATAAAATTTTTTTGGAGACGTTAGTAAAGTGTGTCTACTGATTGCAAGCCTTTACTAGGGTGGTTCTTAGGCTTTGTAGTAGGAGTGCTTTATCCTTACTAGTGTTATGACAGATTAGAGTAGCAATCTGTAAAACCAACTTAAGTAAGTGTTTTAAGTTAGTCTGATATTAATTTACTGCATATTAAGACGCTGTGGCCCCATCTGTTGTGCATTGTGTGCAGTGTTGACTATCATTAGGTATGCGGACCGAGCTGGTAAATTAAATGAACTTCGAAAGCTGGAAATAATATCAAATTCATAATACCTAAGTTATTAATTTAAACCTATGCTAATAAAATAATGATAATTGCACTGTTTTTATAATTTAGAAAATTAAGTTAGCATCGAAGACTGGAAACGATATCAAAGTAATATTACCTACATTGCAATTAGCAATCTAACACCTAAGCTAATAAAGGTATGATAATTGCACGGTTGGTATATTTAAGAAAATTAAATCAGCATCGAAAACTGGAAACAATATCAAAGTAATAATACCTAAATTACTAATTTCATGCATCAGATTAGCGAGCTAAAATTAATATGAATGTACTTATGCAGCTTATCATGGTCATGAATCAATACATAGCGATATTTGACCTAAAATTAATCGATGCGGTTTAAATCAATAGAGAATATTACTTACCGTTAGATAAATCAGGCATCCAGCTTTTTAAATCGTCATAATAATCTTTTGAGTTATACTACATATCGCTATACTCTAAGACACATAGAACGCTTTTTTAAGACTACTCATCAGATGCGTACTGAGGCTATGCTCCGCAATCGTAAAATGTTAATATAGCGTATTTAAGTGATCTGATATTATAATAAGAATTAACCTTAAAGTACTAAACAAAGTGGGCATCCCACCTGAATATATGCAAATGTTCGAATTGACGGCGAAAATTAATATACTGTACAATATTTGGAGTAAAGTAAGAGTGGACGCGATTTGCTATATACAGTATTTCCGTGCAATGTTACTCATACACATTGAAAGACAGATAGAATCAAGTATTATTAATTAATCGTAAGTAATGTAACATGGCATTACTCTACGATGACATGTAACGAGCGGCCTTTATACTAGAAAAATAATTTTAAAATATCTTTCTGTATACCGAAAAGTTTAGATACATAGTAGCCATTAAATTATGAGCCAGGTCTTATCTACGACATTTTGCTTCTAAGGGTAATTTAATTAAAGATGACAACTGATGAGGAATTTTGTTATCATATTTTAATTATGCTCTACACTGCCTGAGTAGAAAATGAAGTTTTGAATAAACTCGGTAGCGTTATTGTTTTAATTTTGTAAGGATAGTTAAATCAGTTCAAAGTATTACGTATTGAATTTCATCAAAAACTGACTAATTCTAAACGTGGACTGAGTAATGTACAGGTAATTACATATTAAGGGAATATTATATTAATTCAACGTAATAGTATACGATCTTACAGCTACCTTAATTAATGAAGTATGACTTAAAAACTTTCAATTTGACTGAGTTATTACCATGATTTTACGACATAGTCATTCTATA